TGTAGATGGTTTTGTGGGCTCAGCAAAACATGTTGAAATTATATATGTGAGATAAACATTGTTGCAGACAAAATTCTTTAGATGTCTTGGCATTTTACTTTCTCTCTCTGATCTTCTAAGTTGTAAGATAGGAAGAGGAATTGGAGTATGCTGAGTGTTGGGAGAAACTGGATTATGCAGGCTAGGTGAAAGTGAAGGACTCTTGGATGGAGTAGGGACTGAATTGTGTTGAGTAGTAGCAGGATTATTGGGTGGAGTTTTTCGGTTAGTATTCTGATCATTGAGAGTAGGTGTAGCAAGTAGACTAGGAAAGATAGATTTAGTTTCCAGTACATGATCAACAAAAGGAAAACTACTCTCATGAAAGTGCACATATCTAGACATTATGATCTTTCTAGTGTCCAATTCTATAGTTTATATCCTTTTTGCCCTTGTGGATACCCTAGGAATACACATGCCTTAGCTCTTGGTTCAAACTTTCCTCTGTTTTGTGTCAAAGTGTATGCATAACATAAACTTCCAAAGGTTCTCAAATCTGCATAGTTAGGAATATTCCCAAAAATTACTTCATATGGTGACTGTCCTTGAAGAACTCTGGAAGGAATTCTATTGATTAAGTATGTAGCTGTCAAAATGTATTTTCCCCAGTAACAAGTAGGCACCTTTGACTGAAACATTAATGCCCTTGCTATTTCTAGTAGGTGCCTATGCTTCCTCTCATCAACCCATTTTGTTGAGGGGTGGCAGTACAAGATGTTTGATGTAGTATCCCCTCAGAAGATAAGAAATCAGAATTTGCAGTCCCTTTGCCTAATTCCAATGCATTGTCTGATCTAATCACCTTGTCCTTAGAAAATGTTTCTACACACTAAGTGCATTACTTTTAGTAGTCAATAGAAAAGTCAATGTTTCCCTACTAAAATCATCTACAATAGTTAGAAAATATTTGTAAACGTTGTAAGTGCACACTTTATATGATACCTGAGTATCTATATGAATAAGATCAAAAATTGCCTTTGATGAAATTTGACTTACTGGAAAAGGTGTTCTAGTTTGTCTTGCCAAAGGACATATATCACAAGAATAATAAGAATTGGGCAGAAAAATATTGCACTAATATGTTTTATTGCATGAAAAGGCAAATGCCCCAACATATTGTGCCACAGTTTAATTGAAAGAAATTCCTAGACTGGGTACTATATGGCTTGAGCAAATATAACCCCTCCTTGATGTCACCAAAAACTTGAGGTCTCTTCATTAAAGAATCCTGCAAGATCTAAAATGATCAAAAAATATTGAACATTGAAACTGATATGTCAATTTCTGAGCTGACAAAAGATTGAATTTAAAACAAGGAACATGTAGCACATTTTCTAGGATTAGATCTGAAAATATGGGTACATTCCTAGAACGAATGCCTTTTCCCTGATAAGAATTAGGTAAATTGACAATTAGAGGAACAGGAAGTGGATACAAACACTTAAAAAATTAGGATCATAACACATATGTTCAGATGCACCTGAATCTATGATCCAGGTGCTTGAGTTATGAAAAGGTAGATCGGGAACTCAGTTATTTAAGGCAAAACTAGCTACAGTATTTGCACTAATGTCTGTTCCATTCTCTACTAAAGGATCCTGATGAACCTTAAGTTATTTAAGTAGAGTGATAAGCTGAGAGAATTGATTCTTAGACAAACTCTGTGTTGCATTAGCCCCATCAACCTCCATGGGATGTGGTTCTTCTCTTGATGTTGCAACATTTCCTCTTATTGGTCCTTGGAACTTCTTGTTCTTGATGAACTTGTAGTCTGAGGGATAGCCTATGAGCCTATAACAATCCCCTATGACATGATTAGTCATCTTACAGTAGGTGCAGAATTGGTTTGGCTTTTTTCTCTAGTTGTTTGCCAAGTTTCCTGTGAACCTTTGCCCTGCATGTGATTGATTTTCACTTGTGACAGAGAATCCCTGATTTTCTACCATGAATGATGCACTACCTTCCGAGATTTGATTATAAACAGGACTTTCCCTTTGATTTTCATCTTGCAACAGCAGAGAATATACATGATTCGCTATGGGAAGTGGATTAAGCATCAGGATGCTGCTCCTAGCGGAGCATAGGTCTCATTCAATACCATAAGGAAATGAATTAGCCTTTTTCCAGAGACTTACCCAACTCTTTTTTTCCTCCACAAACACAACTACTGATTGTAGCAGTGTTCAAAGAGTCCAGTTTATCCCATAACTTTTTAAGTTTTGTATAATACCTTGCTATGTTATTGGTCCCTTGTGCTAAGTCATTCAATTGCTTTTGCAGGTGAAATAACTTAGCACCATTGGACTGTTCAAAACTTTTAAAGATCAGTCCAGAGATCCAAAAATGTCCTAGAATAAATTATTGATTCAGCAATCTCTTTTGATAAAGAGTTCAACAACCAAGAGGTTACCATGTCATTGCTTCGACTCCATGGATGATAATCCTTCGAGGTGATTGCTGGAGCTGCACAGGTCCCGTCAATGAAACCCAATTTATTTTTAGCTGACAAAGTTATGAGCACAGATCTTCTCCATGCCTGGTACCCTTTGCCATCAAAGTGAGAATTCACCAGGTTCATACTTGGTGCATCAGAGGCAGGGGCGTATGCATGAATTTTTGTAAGCTGTGTCGAAATTTATATAAGAACTAAAATAGAACTTTGATTATCATACTTTTAGACAAGAAATAGCCTTAGTCTATTGGTTTTGTTGAGTCTTTAAGTTAGAAAAGATCCTGAGTTCAATTCTACTTCATCACAATTTTTAACCACAAAGGCTCTCTCAAATATTTGCAAAAGAAAAATGTGCTAGTTGAGGTTTAAACCTTTGGCCTCTTAGAGCAAACTCAAGCATATAACCAACACACCAAGACAAAATTTGTGTCACGTGATGTCAGTTTTTCTTACTTATCCATTTTCATACATTATTAATACATATATTTAGCAAAGTTTTCCGACGAAGCGGTGTCGCATGACACCGCTCAATATGACTCCTACCATGATTAGAGGAAGTAAGCATGGTTGGAGTCATATTGAGCTCCAACTGCAGTTACAGCTTGTGTGGTGTCTCCCATGGTTTTGTTTGAAGAAAATGAAGGAAGAAGAAATAAAGATGATAACGACGAACAAGATTTTCTCAGTGCACTGATACCATATTGAAGTTAGAGAATTCAATTTGGAAAATTTCCTTTTTCTTGTTGTATTGAATCTGTACAATACCTATCTTTATACTAGATTACATTGTAAAGAAAATAATATTTGTACACTTGACAAGAATAACTAATTAATATTCCTCTGCGCATGCTTAGAAATTTTCAACTTCTAGAAATATTCATTTGACACAGCTGGCTGCTTATTGAATCGGATTGAATCGGACGGCCATAATTTCATCCATCATGAAATCCATCTTCTCTTGAGATCTTGCCATGTGGCTTAGTCTTTGACTGAGATGACTCGACTTGACCGAGATGTTTAGGACTCAAACACTTACGTTTCACTTTACTCTCTTCATTCAAAGTCTTCTTCCTCATTTCTCTGTTTGCCTCCATAACTTTCTTCTTATCAGATTCACACTAAGAATTAAAACCAACGTGACTCTCAACGCACAAAATATTAAAAAGTGTACCCGCTCAGATCTTAAGAAGTTCAATCTCTTCAATGCAACTTTAGAAATCAAATCTGAAGTTCTTCTATCTTTTAAATGCAAATCAATCTCTTCAATGTAACTTCAGAAATCAAATCTAAAATTTTTCTATCCTTTAAATGCAACTTCAAAAATTTGAATCTTAAGTAGTTCAATCTATTGAATCCAACTTCAGATTTTGAATCTTAAGTTTTGAAACATAAACTTGTTCTTCGAATTTTAACAATCCAATCCTCAAATTTGAAACATAACTTTCAAATACCATAAAGAACAAATCTCAATCATCAAATTGTCAAAACGACAACATATTTAACAAGCTTATTTTGTAACTAAGAAGAGGAAGAAGAAGAAAAGGAAGAACAAGAAACTCTAATCACAAAGAAGAAGAAAACAACAGTAAAGAAGAACCGTGTATGTATCTGAAGTTACCCAAAATTTGCGTATCATTTAATTTTGTTTTTAAAAAGTGAGTACAAATTCAATGGGTGGTGCAAAATTGGGCGCCACATGAAAATTTTTACGTTTGTCTATATTGTTTGCATTCTCTCTTCTTTTTTTCACTTCTTGGGAGTGTACAGAGCCATGGTCTTTTTTTTTGGGTAACGGATCTTGAAAATTTTGTATACTAAATTTAGATCCTTTGGGGACACTTGTATACATCGGATAGCTTCAATAAAGGGCAATGCCTATTTTGATTAATTTTTTGACGCTAAGCTCTCTGCTTTGATGAAGTTAGACATGGCAGCAGTCAAGTTTCTCGAGTGCGCAGTTCTTGAAAATTTTCTGACTATGACCAATCAATTGAATTCTGCATATTGGTCAAGTATTTACCGGCGAGGAGATTGTTGTATTAGAATCAGCAGTTTAAGTGCATTAACAATAGCTTAAAGTTACTAAAAACTGTACTATCCAGTGACAACTCTCTTTTCTGATTATTATAATCGTGGACTTCCTTTCTTTCAAATTTGTTCAACCTTATTTTGAGTTTCGTTAAAAAAAAAAGTAGGGATAATCATATTTTCCCTTATGATTTATACCGGAACGTGTCTCGCGGAGATATTGTTTATTGAAATAACAAGCATTCATTGGAAAACTTAGACAGTAGATGCACACTATAGATATATACCTTAAATTTCCCAAGCAAGTTTATAAAATGGACAGAAACATGCATAACAACTCCCAGGTATACAACTGTATAGAAGCATAGAAGTTAGGAGAGGGCTAAGGCAAGGGGACCCCATATCTCCATTAATCTTTGTAAAATGCATGGAATACTTGACTAACCAGCAGGGGTTTTCCTTTCATTCCAAATGCAAGGGGTTGAGACTTAATCATTTGTGTTTTGCTGATGATGTGTTGTTATTTGTAAAGGGGAGTTTCAATCTGTTCTGTTGATGTTAAGGGAGTTGGCTACTTTCTCAAATACATGATCAGGTTTAACCACAAATGCAGCTAAGTCCAACATTATTATAGTGCAAATATGGATAGACACAGTATTGATGATCTATGTGAGCTAACTGGATATAAGAAAATGGCACTCCCATTCAGATACTTGGGTGTACCAATATCATCAAGAAAAATGCTAGTGTGTGCCAGGATAAAAAGTTCCTTTCCTATGCTAGAAGAGTTCTACGTGTGAATTCAGTGTTGATGCACATCCATTCCTCTTGGTCCTCCATCTTCATTTTGCCCAAGAAGGTCCTAAAGAATATAACCGCTATCTGTAGGAATTTCCTGGGAACACCTTGTTAATAACCCAAAAGGCTCCCATATTCCTTAATAACCAAAAGATGCAATATAATGCTACCACGAACCTAACATCAGGCAGAACATCCAGAAAACAGATACAGAGATACACCAAAAAAACAACCAAACATGAAGAAAACCAACAAATCTCAAAACCAGAAAGAGGAGATCTACCTTGGGTGAGTAGGAAAAAGAATAGGAAGCCCTCTTTCTGGTGAAACGCCAGAATACAGCGATACATGAAATGCCAATCAAACGTTACCTCCTTCGTCCATTCATCACTGTCCACTCTGTGCCCTGCGCCCAGCGTCCTCCATTCCCTCCAGCGACTTGTCCCTGAATATCACACTTCACCTAACTTTTTGTGGAACACTCCCCGTTCATTCAACGGGATTAAATATTGTACAAAATCCATTGAAAGAATTATTGTTTTCTTTGTGATCCTGCTCGATTTAGTTTCAGGTAATTGACTGGACATTGCATGTTTATTGAAAATCTGTAGGAACTTAGCCTGAGCAGCACCTTTTTCATTCTGATATTGGAATGAAAGAGGTTTAAACGAAATGACGGTTCAGGGATAATTAAAGATGGGACGGTTGGTTTTTTAAGTGGAACATCTTTTATCATAATTTTAAAAAGGAGAAAAGGCAAAATTTTGAAAACATATAAGTGCAAATGCCTGGTCTAAGAGAGGTGTCACCTCACCTACTCTTAGACTTAGCCTGAATATACTGTATAGATATATGCATACATACACATGTATATATACATATAAACATATCTAGCAAATTATAGTAAAAGGAAACAAGGAGGTATACATGGAGACAGTAGAGAGAGAAGAAGGAAAGCAGGATATAAAACAGCAAGAAATACATGCCTTGAATTTCACATCAATATATATTTCTCAATCCTTCCTCCATATCAGCTGCACGAAGCTCATTGTCATCAGAATCATCGTTATCCTATAAACAACATACAAAAAACTCCAATGATACTCATCATTCAAGAAAGTCGGCTTACACAGAACCCATGTACTTCCAGAAGTGAAAATTAATACTATAAACTAGTACCATTTTGTATATGCATGAGTCTGCTAATGATAAATAAGAGTCAAATATTCCCATTTATGATTATGGAAGAGTAGTATCAGCTTAATATTGCTTAGTGACAATACTATTAAAGGACACCTACAAGGCAGAGGCGGATCCAGGATTTATGTTCTGTGGGTTCAACTTTTAAGGTTTTTAACATCGAACCCATTGTATTTTAAAAATTATGGGTTCAGACCTACCAGTTATTGCAATTTTAATGAACTTTTACACATAAATTTATGCTCCGCGGCAAAAATACTGGGTTCAGATGAACCCGGTGGCCATACTCTACATCCGCACCTGCTACAATGGTCATATCAGGCAGATGTTTCTCGGACCACCAATTGCGATTTCTTGACTTCATCCTGTCATACAAAAGTCAAGCACCAAATAGCCATAGCAGAGAAGCATTACATTGTTTGATTATATATGTATAATCATTTTAATTTGAAGTCTTTATTATCGAGATAAAAGACTAAAGGAAAGAGAAAATGATCCAAGAATTAATCAGAGGTCTAAGCAACTTTAATGATAGTCATTAATTAGAGAAAGACAGCAAAAAGGAGTGATGTTAAACATATCATAAAGTATGGCAAGGTTTTGAGTTTTTCCTGTTTTCAGCTTTTCAAATTAAACAACAGGAAACGAAGATGAGGAAAAGGAATATTCGACCTCGCATTTCATACTGACGAAGATTGTATGAGTAAAATGAGAACACATGCATTAAAGAAATGACACCAAATTGAAAATGAGGAACAAACTAGCCTTAGAGAAATGTAATCCAAAAGTGCATATTATCGGGCATAAATATTTCGAAAGTACAACAACAACAAAATTAAGAACTAGCAGTCAAGTTCACTGACGTTTCCTATCACATTTGACTTGCATTACCAACCAAAGACTCTTCCTCTTTCTTACATTGCTAATCCTATTAGTCTGTTGTTCTTCAAGTTTTTCTTTTCAAATAATTTGGTGAGCACTATTATTGAGCTTCTGTATCTTGTGCACACTAACATCAGTCAAATTCAGTAATGAGTTTCAATGACCAAGTAGAGGAAAGGAATGGTTGTCATTCCTCGCACAACATAATTCACCTTCCACTGAGGAGAGGTACTTAGACATATATATTAACCTTTTTTTTTATAGTAACCATATTGAATACTCTCACTGAGACATTTTTATTTCCAAAACTAAAGAAAATTCTTATAAGTCTATATTTGCTCTTTGTTTACATATTCACCTGTGATGATGATCTCAATACTTTTAGAATAACTCATCTGTGTAACATATAGTTGACTTTCCAAGAGACTTATCGGATCTGTTCATTGCAAGTTATAATGAGCGCTTGGAACTGAACAAGAAGAACTATGAAAATGAGCAAAGAGCAATATTGCCCAATGGAATAGACGCATAAAATGCTACGCAACAAACAAAACAAACCTCTTTCGTCATCATACCTAAGAAACTGTGACCTCCTCGCACAAGTTGAGAGAAAACTTGATGGAAATGTTTAGATATGCCCTTGAACATGCATTCATTTTTCCTCGTATCCAAATCTGATATAAGTTCCTTCATTTTCTGCAAAGATTGATGCAAGGCGCAAATGGAGGAAGCCATTAACACACAAGTCCTATCAAAACATAAACACACAAGTTCAGATCCACATATACACAATTTATTTACCTCATCAGCGGCATCCAGTTCAGCACCATTATGTTAGAAGGGTGTCGACGGCAACATGGAAAAGGTAGCAGGTCTTTAGATTTTTCTTTCATGAAGCATAGATAAGGCAATTCTAACCCTCATTCTTAAATATGCAGAAATACACAAGTATGAACAAATACCTCCCGAGAATTCACCTCTTCTCCACCTTACAATTTCGCCTTTTAATTCACAGTTTATGATTGTTACATCACTAATGGTTGTATGCATATCTGCATGTTTCTGGCTTCTAGCCCTGAAAAGCGAAGAACAGATCTACCAAACAAACAATAAAATAAAAATCAAATGCCAAACAGGTTATACGCAAATTATAGAAGAACGATACGTCTCAAAAGGTGTCAAGAGATAAATAACCAGTTCCGGGATTTTCTTCAAGTACTCTTCTTGCTTGGAAAGATAGGTGTTTTGTTTACTTAGTAGTTGTTCCAATGGTGTTGCTTCATCCTCAAGTGTAGTCCAATACTTATCTTGGACCTATAACAAAATCACCATATTAGCAAAAAGCTAACCATGCAATGTGAAGTTGGAATTTAACAGAGAATCTTTGCCTTCAGATTATCCTTTTCCAGTTTGATCGGCTTGAGCCTCTTGTTTCGTTCATCTATACTTCCAAAAACCCCTGTGCAGGTCATCTTTGTAATAAAATTTGAACATATATGATACCAACAGCTACAATCAAATAAAGGTCAACTAGTGAGTCTGCAGTCTTTAGTTCCTGATTCTTCCTCTCAACTTCACCCTGTAGCATATCAATGTCCACAGAAAATACATAGCCACTAACCCTTGTTTTGTCTTTCAAGATTCTTTTAAAGATTCATCTCAAACTCCTCTTATCTATTCTCAGTCTACAAAAGCCGATATGAAACCAGAACCAACTGATTTGTGTTGATATGTCATATAATTAATGACTTCAGCAATCCTGACGTCAACAAATCTCCACCCAATTTACCAATTTTTTGCTGCTCAGACCGCAAGTTCATTAAGTTTCTGGTCTATCCATTGGGAAAAGCTAAGAAGGTAAAAAGTAGACAGTGTGAACATCCTTAGAACGATGGATAACAAAAGCCGGTGACACCAAGAAAGGAGAACAATATGACCTTATTGTCATTTGTAACTTTCTAATCCACACAAAAGAAGTGTTTGCAACACTTTGAAAGTGAAAGGAAATAAGCAATGCATTAATCAGTACAACAAAAAACGAAAGTTTTATCCCAATTATGCATGTACAAAAGACAAACCACGAATGCCATATACATTAGTTCTGTACATGTTGAAGCTCCACTAAGTTCCAGTGCCCATAACTGCTAAACAGATTCCAAGTTCAAGTGAATACACTTATGTTCTAATAATATTAGTCTATAACAATCATAAAACACCCTTTTACGAATTCAAATGAGAAACAAGAAAAGAACACACACGTACATATGACATTAGTAAGAAAATCTACTAGACAGACTACTAAAAATCTACTAGTACTTCTTCATATTGAAAAGGAAGAACGATTAAGAACAAGAAGAAATATGTAAAATATAGACGGGTTGCTAAACATATGAAGCGTACTAAGCCTCTAAGCTGTGGTGTCAAACCAACAGTACTAAATCGACAAATTAAGAACTAAAACAACAACAAGAAGTATGTAAAACACAGACGGCTGCTAAACATATGTCGCCACTAGTGGAAACAATGTAACTAAACATATTAAGTGTCACCACTAGAGGAAAAAGGGGGGAGTTCCTCTCAGACGGGCGGTTGGGGGCCGCACTTGTTTCTTCGGTATGATATGACGGGCGGCTGGGGGCAAGAGTTTCTCCCAAGAGTCCAAGAATCGAACCATGAGTGTAGGGTCGGTCTCATGACAGGTATTGGTGCAGAATTTTGATATGGCAGGGAATACAATTTCCATGAATAGGTGAGTGTAAAGGTCATCATCGTCAAGAAGATTCTTCCACAACGAAACCACCTCCACCCCATGAGTTGGAGTTTGAAGTGGATCCCATCCGTCAAATAGTTGCTCAAACAGAGGGTGAGCGTGGGAAAATGCGACGGCAGAAAAATCATGCTCCCAGAACTCCATGAGGTAATCTTCCCTCAACTGCTCAAATTTGCTCGCGAGGGAGTGAAGAGTAAGGGTACCTGATGCACTCTCTATGCGCTTTAATACAGCTAAAATAACTTTCAGATTATCAAGATTCCTTCTCTTGCTAACTCCCTCAGCGTGGAGCTTCTGCAACTCACCCAATTTCTCAATTTCATTTCTTAAAATACTTTCTATGTCACGCCTTTTAGCTTGGGCCCGTTCAAGAATCAGCCTAATGTTGCGTTGAAGTTTAGGCATTAGGAGATCATTTTCCCATGCTTGTTCATCAGAGTTGAAATTTTCAAAATTCTGCAAGATTCTAACCTGTGGACCTCTCATATCAATGATCTTTTCATTCTCATTCTCCATGCTGGGTCCAGGTCAAAGGTTAATTGAAGCTTGTATTTGTTGGAAGAGGAGGTTTCAGAGGAAAAATGTAATTTTTCTAGGGGTGTGTTTTTCTAAGCTTGTATTTCATTCTCACTGCTGCTGCATTTTGTTTCCCCCCTTCACTGCCATCTTTTAATCACATAGTACACATACAGATGAGAAGTTCAATGAAGGAAAGGTGAAAAGATCTATTTGCAATGCTATGCTTCTTCATCAATAGCCTGGAGCTGACACAGTGCTTAATACATCCATATGCTGCTCGTCTCCCCTGCCACTCCTTACTGCTCCTGCCAAAAACAGTTTGACAGCTCATAGTCTTTCATACTATTTGTTTTTTTTACTTTCTTTTTAAACAGCGGAGTCCGAGCCAATTCTTTTATTTATTTGTTTGTTTGGGTTAATTTTCTGTTGGTTTTTTCCAATTCCTGGTTTTCTTGAAAATATTTGTTCTCTTTAAAAGCATAAACCTTACAAACTATTTACCTATCATGGACCTTTTCATTAAATTTGTTGCTCTTGATGTACTATCTTCGTCATAAAAATGGAGTTACCTGGCCATATCCTATTGCACTATTTCATTACTATTGAATTTAAAGTCACATAGAAGTACTTTTGTCCCAGTTTGATTGATGTAATTTAAATTTTAAAAGTCTATCTTTTAAATTCAGACATAGAATTTTAATTTTTTAAAATAAAATTTAAAAATTTAAAAATTATATCAAAGTAATATAAGTTAAAATAATTACTCTCTGCGTTTTAATTTAGATGAGGTAGTTTGACTCGGCATAGAGTTTCAGAAATAAAAAAAAAAAAGACTTTTGAAACTTGTGGTGTTAAAAGCTTAAAGGGTAAAACCATTGTGGACCATGACATTTGTGTGGTTATAAAAACTTCTCATTAAAGGTAAAATGAGTAAAATAAAGAGTTTAAAATTAAATTATTTTCAAATTTAGTAATGTGTCATTTATTTTGGAACACTCTAAAAAGTAAAGTGTCTCATCTAATTTGAAACGGAAAGAGTAATAATTTAAAATATTTAAAGACATAAAAAATCGTGATAAAAAAAATTTGTTTGACTCTTGAAATCAATATGCATCAAACAAATTGGGACGAAAGGAATAATTTTTTATTTATTTATTTTTTAGACCGGGAAGACTAGCTATATTTATCATCAACTAAATTATCCCTTAGCAAAAAAAAACTAAATTATCCATGTGGTACTTCACTAATTTGATTTTACATTGGAACTTTGATCTCATTTTGCAACTACAAGCATAGTATAGTTAAATTCATATAAATGGATCTAGGATTTGAAGATGGTGGGTGTCACAATTATTTTTAATACACACCTTGTAATGACTAATATAGAGTTTATTAGAAAAATATATTCAGTTCAGTTCCGTCTCTTTTGAGTTTATTCGAATCAACTTAATAGACGTTTGATTTGCATATATGAAAATTACATCTCAAATATCAAGACAAACTTAATTAGCATTATATAGAGGAATCACACTTTTATTATCAACAACACAAGAAAAATCAACATTTTCACGAGAATTACTTTTTTGGATATTTTAAAATAAGTTTGCGCAGTAAATATCTTTAATAAGGGAATTATAGAATTAAAAAATAATTAAAATATTTTTATTGGTAGATTACGCCCCATAAGTAAATCTAGAAATAGATGAAATACAAGTTCCCATAAATCAAAAATATAAATTACATATATATTAAAGCAACAATTACGAAAGTACCATCTAATTTAATCGTAAAGAGATTTAAATTGAACTTAACAACTATAAAATAGCATAAAATTTTAAGATATAATAAGCAAAAGAAATCACGAAATTTTTTAAATTAATCTAAATCCGAAATTCCTATTGAGACCCAATTAGTCTTTCGATTTTGAAAGAAGAAAATTCACAAATTTGAGATTAAGAGAAATTCTTATTTTATGAAATTTTAAAAAGTTGGAGTCTATTTTTGAGTGTTTTCATTTGAGGTCGCAGATAAAATAATAGGATACAGGAAAGAGAAATTAAAAAAAGATAAATAGAAAATTAAGAGATAGCCGAAAAGAGAAATGGCTAAGACAAAAGAAAATAAAAAGCACAAAAGGAGAGCCAAATAATGTTTAAAAAATTCAAGGAAAAATGCATGAGTATCCCCCTCCCTTCCCCCTCCACGTGTAGCCGGAACTCCAACTACACACTTTATCTTTGCGAGTGTTCTATTACCCCTCTGAACCTTTTTAAAATGAAATAAATACACCCTAAATGATGATGTGGCAAGGAGAATACATTCACTCTCTTGAAAGCATGTGAGAGACAAAATTTAAGTTTAGCTGATTAGTTTATAGAAGTAGCAACTTTTAATAGAAAATGATATCATTATTTTAGACTTAATAGCAATTTTTAATTGAAAATGATATCATTATTTTAGACTTAATTAGTTTTCACTATAACTTAGACTAATTGTATTTTTTTAAAATCAAGTCTCTTTTTCCTTTTTCACCGACGACGAATCCGACTCGCCGGAGCCACCTCCACCAACATCGACAATAAACTCCGCCGTTTTCCAGCAACCGTTTTTTGATATGAAGAAATCGCACACGCTCGTTGCAAAGCTTCCAAATAGTACACATGATTCATCGGTGTCACACCTCTGTCGATTCCTCCGGCAATCTGAAAATCGTAAAACAGATGGTTCTGCCAAAAAACCCTGCCCATACAGCTGCTAAATAAATTACCGGATCCACCAAGGCTGAGATCCAACTACAATGAGTCCAACATCACTACCGGTGGCGAGTTTTTCACCATTATCGCCGGCGACGACTCAACGATACTACTCTGGCTCGAACTACGATTTTCATTTACTAATTCACGTTCTCCGGCTCAAAAATCGGAAAATAGTTTCACATTCACCGACGTCCATGTACATAAAACTGGAATATAATAAGACAAAAAAGGAGGGGAAAAAGAAAAAAAAAATATTAGCTGGCATTGCGTGCACAACACTCTCCATCAGAAATCTAGTTGTCCAGTATTAAGGATATATTTATTTCATTTTAAAAAGGTTCAGGGGGTTAATAGGATATTTGAAAATCTGGCTATATGTCGGGGGAGAACTTATGCATATTTTCTTACAAAATTATCATAAAATATTATCAAACTATACAATTTACCTCTCTAAAAGGTTAAAATCGATAAACTTCATCATGAATGTAATTTAAATTATTACTCCTTATGAGTAAATATAAATTTGCTTGCAAATACCAAAATAATAAATGGTGAAAATTTTGATAGACATAAAACTAAGATATGAAAACCTATAGTAAGTGAAGATATAAATTTGACTATCTATTTTAGATAAAATATTTAAATAATTTTCGCCATCGCGATGTTCTCAACTAGTACATATGCAATACCATGACTCATTATTTTGAGTTACTTTCAATGTTTATATCTTTATAGATGAATTGAACTTTAATCATTCATATGTTAAAGAATTTTGAGTGTCGGCAGTACAAATTAGGGAATTTGACATATGATTTGTATTAGGAACTATTAGGCGAGCCCTGAGCGTTAGTTCGGATACGTAATCGAGTGTTTGAGACGTAAGCCTCTCAGAACTAAGTCTCACACGTGAGCCTCAAGGCGTTTTCATAGTGCCCCGCATTGGGGCGAACCCCGAGGCAAGTCTCAAGAAAACCTTTTAAAACACTGTGTACATTATCAATTAAGACTTTAAAGGGTAGTTGGAAATTTTCACTCTGTTTTAAATGTTATAAATGTTTGTAGCTAATTGTGGTAAAATGGTTTAAAAAAATAGTTATCCACCCATATTATCCATTAGAAAATGGGTTAGATAATGTACTATTTAAAAACGAGTCAAATATGGATAAGAATCATATTATCCACTTAGAAAATGGATAACCAATGGATAACTAATGTGTTTAACTTTTACATTTATAAAGCCTCAAATTGGGGATTTCTCAAGTTTGGGAGACTAAGAATTCTCTCAAAAGTGATCATATTCAAGAAGTCATGGATAATATCCATATTATCCGCCTGTTAACCCGTTTTTTTATCTGTATTAAATATGAATCGGGCCGAGTAATTTCATTTTTTGCATTATCCATTTTTTACTTGTCCATATCCGATCCGACCCGCCTGTTTGCCACCCCTATTTATAGCTCACGCTGAATTGTATTAAGTACTCCCTCCGTTCACTTTTACTTGTCCACTATGGAATTTGCACACCCCTTAAGAAATAATAAATGAAGTGCATAATTTACCATGATCCTCATATTAATTGATGCTTATTTTTAATGGATTTGAGAAAATGACAAATAATCTATTTTTAGAATACTTGACAAGTAAAAGTGAATGGAGGGAGTATATTGATGTCAATTACAACTCCTTTTTATGTGGAAGACTAGAGTTACTTGACTTTTAACTAATCAGTTGATTTTAAGTTTCGCACACTGTATTGAAGAGATAATTTAATTTTCAAAAGATATTTGTGTCGATCAATATTGTACTCATACTTTTTTAATAATATAAATAGTATAATATAGAGATATAGATTATATCTCTATATTATCCTAGTGCAATTGAAACTTTAATGTATGATATACATTGCACTAGGATAATATTATCGTTGTTGTTTTTAAAACTATCAAAATATATTTTTAATTCAAGTAGTGATAAATGATAATTGGAGAGGTATCGAACTGATTCCTGGTTACCTTAAAAGGAAGAAGTCTTTTGCCTTATTTTTTACTAACACATTTTCTTTAATATTAAAAATATAGTAAGGCGATGGATAACAAGTGCAACACAAAAGGATAACTAGTGCACTATTCATTTCACAATGGAAAAATGTTTTTATTGTTTTAACCGCTAAAGAGATATAATGGCTGAATAATCTATTATTAGATATAGAGTTGTGGCGACAAGCTGTATTCTTATAATATGATAGTGAAGCTATTATGTCAAAAGATATTTAGATATATATAATGAAAATATAGACATATTGCTTGAGACTTTAATTAGTGCAGATAATTGAATATTGATGAAATTATCACCAGTATGGTGACCCAGGCCAGTGGCTTAAGGACTCCCGAGAGGTATGACGGGAACCTTATCTATCTTATTGCTTACTAATATTAAAGGTATAAAAGGTTAAAACAAACTATAGTTTGTGTCGGTTAGCAAACACTAAAAATTTTAGTACTTAAGAAAAAAGAATAAGTATAAAGTTATTCTTAATAAAGAAACAGAGTTCGGATTAAGAACTAATAAAAGTATATGTTAAAGACTTGA